TTCTGAAACTGCTCGATCTGTTGCGCCATGGGGACGTAAGCCGTTTCCTCGAACTTCCTTTTTGTGCCGCTGGACAGGTTGAAAGGCTTGGGAATGGTGTGGCCTTTTGAAACCTTTGCCTGAAACACAACATTTGCATCCTCACAAACAAAGAAGTAAATCTTACATAGGACCCTGAAAGAGCAAGGGAGGAGTGTCCTACAGGCATGCAAACCACGTGAAGAAAGAAAAGGTACACACAGGCGAAGGTGGGTGCTTCCGAAGTTGGGCCGCAAAATCCACCTCTTTGTAGCTCGCGTCCGATTGGTGGTCACCATGCGGCTTAATCCGGTCATCCGTGCGAAAGTGGAAGTCCACAGGAACGGTATGGGGAATGACGGTCTTTTTAGCCGGCTGACCTAAAGAAAAAAAGGAACAAGTGAAAGGTTTTTTTCCCCCCCACGCTGAAAAGAAGAGAAACGTTTCGGCTGTGGAGCCTTCTTCAGGTGTGGGGAAGAAAGAAAACTGGCAGTTGATAAAGCAGGGGAGAGCAAAAGCTGGGAGCAGGGGGGAAAACAGTTATCAACACTCAGGTCTGTCACTGAGAGAAGGGGGGAGGTGTGATCCTAGTTTCAGAATAGTTCTGGTTTGCTTGAACTTCTAAGAAAGAACCATAAAGCCAAAAAAAGCAATTTAGAGAACCTAGAAGACTACTAGCAACTGACTGAAGAGCAGCAGCACAAGACATGTCTCACCAAGGAGGTGACAGAAATACGACTACTTTGTATCAATGCAACTAGAACTCTGAAGCAAGATTTCAGTGACAAAACCTACAGTCTTTCAAACCAATCATTGTTAGTTCAGATAGTTTTAACAAATAGCTAGCAGACACCCATTCAGACTTAAACAGGAATCCTACTGCACCACGTTAACTGCACCGAGACTCGAAAGTAACTGAACGAAGGGTGATGTGGCGATAGAAGAACTACCATGCTTGGGGTTCATTGGCCAAACTGTTTTTCCGAGTGGCGTTTAAGAAGTCTGAATAACATTGGCTAAATATTACCAATTTGTCAGAATTTGAGAGTTTCTTGTTTTCAGAAAGGGAGGGGAAGCTATCAAGACTCACTTCCAGCAATGGCAGCCTTGAAGGTGGTCTCATTCTTCTTCCGCTGCTCGGCCACCTCCTTCTGGAGACTGTGGATCTTCTCCAGCTCCTGCTGCTCTGTGCTTTTAAACTTGGCCGACGAGTTGCTTCTCCTTCAAGTATGAAGAAAAGGCAAGATGCTCCGAATTCCGTGGTAGTTTCTCACAGCCTCAGTCCAGTTATTACATAAAAGCAAACTTTACAAGAAAACTCTGAACCCCAGATGGGCCTTAAATGCTTTTGCAATATGAATTAGGAACTTTTTGCTCGTCTAACTTGCAAATCACTTACTTGAGCACAGTTGGTGTGGTCGATCGTAATCTGCCTTTAGTTTGGGACTCATTAGCCCACCTGGTGGTTTCTGAAATCGTCTCTTCCCGAGTAGTATGGTTTGCACTCCTATTAAAATTAAAGAAAACTGTCAGTCATTTCCACATTCATCCAGGCACAAATCAAGTACCCCGGGGTGTAATACATTTGAAAAGCTAAACCCTTAGAAAAAGTGAACAGCAGAGTGCTCCAACTCCCAGCGTCACCACTGTACACCCTAGTGTGACAAAGGCAAAAGTGAATTACCTTTTTATTCGATGAGGCACATTTGCTCTTGACAGCTGAGGTAGATTTAAATTTCTGCTAGAAGTTGAGCAAAAATGCAACCCAAAGTTTTAATGGACAATCACTACACAAGTTAAAAAGATTCTTTAGGATTTTCAAACAAAGGAAAAACTACACATGCATTATTAACTAAGATTAATGTAAATAAAAGTCTGGTTGTCCAGAGGACTCTTTTCAGAACTGACCAGGCCCACCTTTGCTCAGCTTCCTGTTGCCATTAAAAATGTATATGGTGCATGCAGCCTTGAATTAAATTATTGCAAGCAGTCTCTCCTTACTGCCTCTGCCCAATTACCTACATGTCTCTCTGCCTTTGCCTGCCTAATCAATGGATTTCCATCCAACACTGAACGTTCAAACACAGGGGCACAACATGGGCTCAGTCTGCCTTGTTTTACTCTGGTGTGGAATTAGTTTACCTCTATCTAGCTCTTGGTTATGGCTGATAAGTGCAAAAAGCATAAAGCAAGGATGATCAACCAGGTGGGCCGAATTACTCCTCTCAACAAAGCTGTGATAGAGAATACAGCATTCACGTGCCTCTGGTTATGCCAGCCACTTGGGAATATCATTAGAAATCACGTACAAGTTGGGGGTTATGAATAATAATTTCACTTACTCACTAAACTGCTCGGTCAATTGCTGATTTTTACCAGTTTCATAACATTATATTAATACCTGTTGTCAGTAATGAGATTTTATACATGAAAACATTGTTTGCTAGAACTCAAAGTTCAATTACTGCTACATGCTGTACGGCACAGATCAACAACAAAAAAAGAAAATCCAGGCATCGTCGAGTTCCTTTGAGATTACCTTTTTCTTAGTTTTTTAACAGGAGGGTCTCCTGCATGAGGAACAGTGGCTGCTGCACTCCTCCTCTTTTCCTCACGAATTTTGGCCATTTGCTTCCGCTGGTTTTCCATCTTCTGATGGCCGGACAATCTTTTAGAAACTCTAAACGGGTGAGGGACAGAGCAGTCAACGCCAACAAGAAAGTTAAAAAGTGTTTTCCTGAATTCAGAGGGTTTTTTTTTCCCCCGCCCTTGGTGGACAGTGCACAGTGATCTGTAATTTCACACCATGTGGAACTCTGAGAAGCTATCCGCCAAGTAAAAATTCACCAGCTCTTGGGGAGATCCATGCCACGGGTGAACGAAGTGGCACTCAGATCAGCAATTTCCAAAACCGGAAAGCACAGTCCAACAGAACAGGACAAGACCGTGCATTTCTCCCCCCATCCCATTTTTAATTCCAGCATGTAAGACTGTCTGACAGAGGCTCCTCCTACCTCCTGGGCTGTGCTGGAAGAGCCTTTCTCTGAGGCTGGTTGTCTGTAGATGGCCAGTGGCTCCAGGAGGTCACCAAGTTTGAAGAAACAGCAGGAGCAGACGGTTTCTCTCCTTCGGCGCCGCACTCTGAAAGGGGACATCACCCAGAAAGCTGGAATAGCTAGCCCTGAAGTTGCTTTACCAAGAGGAAAACGACCTTGCTCTCACTTAAGGATGTTATGGTAGTGACAAATAAACATGCTTGCCTGTCCCGCGATTGGCATCGTGCACCATGGGTAAAACAAAGGCTTTGGGCACATCGGTCTTCGCTTCTCCCTTAGCCTTAAACGGAGTGGTATGCAAATCCATCGTCTTGGACTCTGGCTCAGCTATCTGGTCTGAAAGCAATAACAGATGTTTCAGACAACAAAAGGCAGGCAAGCCCAGATATAACCAGCTTACAAGGAAAGAGGAGGGTGCAAAAAACGCGAAGCCCGAGACGGTCTTACCGAACCAGTGATCTGCATTGTCCTCCCTGTCCAGGGACTTGAAATCAATCACGACCGAAGGCGCGTCAAACTCATAATCGGCCATCGACACCTCCTGCTGCATGTCCATCTCTCCGCCGTGCCGAGCTCCTCTGTCCCTACTGGGGGGGAAAAAGTTTTAAAATCGATAAAACCTTACATCCCGAGTGCAGCACCTGCCTTCTTTTCCCGACTGATTTGTATCCCTACAGCGGTATACACTATCCAGTCGTATCCCTGGAATATTATAGTATGTATTTATAAATATTTAAGGGGGGGGGGGGTGCTCACTTTGCAGATGGGAAAAGTCCTTCTTCCGGTGGAGGGACAGACTCACTGCCAGCGGATTGGAGACGCGCAATTTCAAAGTTTTGACCGAACCGCCTCCCGACGCCCAGACCACACCAAGTGCGTTTTGCTCTCTCCTTTCACCTGACTGAAATTTTGGGGTGACTTCTTTTTTTTTTTTAAATCAAGGTGGAAGCCCATCCGGGCTCACCTAACAACCCATGTTTTAGCTAAAGATTCCTCCTACACGCTTAGAGTCCGATCAGAAAGAGGGGGGTCTAGTTTGAAGCGATCACGGCCAGGAAAAAAAAACACATATACCTGCATGAAGCGTTATTTATGTCCTATCCTATTTACTTGGGTATAGCATATGAAAAAAGGCGATGTCCGCCTTAGACGGCGACGCTGACTGAAGCAAATCCAGATGCTGTCGTTAAGGTGAACCTGTGGCTATTCCTACGCAGAATCCTTTCTTTTTCAATACTTCAGCAGTATTTTTCCACCCCCAAGAGATTACATGACTGTATAGAAACAATCCACCCAACACCCCCCAGCAAAAAAAAAACCCAAACAATACTGGTCGGGTCCGACACAGCTCGGCGTCTAGGCCAAACAACAAAGTAGCCCTAACTACTCATTTCAGCCACAAAACCAGCAGGGTACGTCAACTCACATAAAAGACGTGTATTTTAAATGCACGATTACATACCTGTTCCAAAGTTTCTTCCCTGATGAGTAAGAAATCCACTGTATTTAAAGAAAAGTTATAACCCTACTTTACTTGCTCTGCAGAAAATGTCTGTCTGCTAACACCGCCCCTAGCGCCGTTATCATTTGAAATCCGTCCCTTTCCAAACTGGCCAATCAGCAGGCGACTCGCAGCCTCGGCGCATTTCTATTGGTGATGAGGCCGAAATCGTTCGGGTAGGCTTGAGCGCCCATGGGAAATGTAGTCTTTTCATGCCACGTACTACCGACGTAAAAATGTAGGGAGCGTCAAGATGATGTGTTGATAACCATTTCGTGGAAGGGTTTGGGTCAAACGTGCAGGATGTGGAATTAAGGGGGGATCTAAAATGTACATAAATCAGCTATATAAGACATGTAGGCCAGTTTGTCGATACTTGAGAAAAGCTTGTCCAACCCTTTCTAACGAGTTATACGAAATTGTATTGATGGGCGAGCAAAATAAGAGCAGAACTGTGGAGTGTCGGCTTCAAAACCTCTAGATTCATATGCTCGATTTACATTTTAGAAAAGAACAAGCAGATTGTTCATTCCACAGTGGAAAGTAGAAGAAAACACGCAACGTGCAGCCTTCTTCGAATTTCAGGGAAAATATATAGAAGGGAACAAAATTGGGAAGTCGAATCTAGTGCAGTTCTTCACCAATAGTGTTATACAGTATATTGCGAGGATTAAAATAATATCCTTCACTGACGGGCTGAGAGTCCCGCCCTCCTTTCTGTCTTGAACAGAGCACATACTAAGGGCGAACCTGACGCACGGATTAGGAATCCTAAAGGCTGTAAATGAAAAAGTCAACCCAGCGAACTACTTCAGAATGAACATTTAAAAAACCCGATCCAGGGGACAAAAGTGTACGCTATGGTGAAAGTGCATTTAAAACTGAGAGCAGGAGGAACTACTTAAAACACAGCGGTTCGTAAGATCGTGGAACGGGCTACCCAGCCATATTGTTGAAGCCTCAAGACGATGGCATGCTTGGATCAGTGTGCTATTAAATATCCAATAGGCTCTTCTCGTTTGTAAATGTTCTCATGCGGTCATGTCAAATACATACTCAACTGCACACACACACACACATATATATACACGTACCCCCTGACCGTTTTAAGATCGGACAGCTCAGAAGAGATTGTGTCTGTCCAGCAATCGTATGTATTGCCCCTCGCTCTTAAAAGCCAAGAAGAAAGCCGTTTCAGAGAACATGTCAGAGCATGAGAATCAGAGATTCCAAGCAGACAGTTTAAACGAGGCACAAGAGGAGACTATTCGGTAAATCTTGCTCGGCTGGCTTGCTAGTTTAATGCAAATTCACCAAATACAGGAAAGGAATTCGTGCTGTTCTCTGGTGCTTTATGAAAAGATCTCTGGTGTAACAGACACATTTAATGTGAAAACAATCAAGGACGACCCGGGTGTATTTTCGTCATCTCGTATTGTTTTGTATTGTAGGACATCCTGTCTTATATTGTGTTATGCTGAATACGAACCCGATTTTATAAACATGTGGTTACATCGCACGCTACTTTAAC